AACTCGACTGTATTTTAATACGTTTTAAAGAATTGAGAAGAATGTCACTTCAGAATGAAATGAATGAAAGAATGACATATTGCAGTTTATAATTATAAACATTTCATTGTATTATTCCCGTCTCAGAACCACCAAACACCCATTTGAGATGCTGCGATGTGATTGGTCCGCTGGTTACTGCAGTTATCCAATCACAGTCTCTGCTGAGGCAGAGTCATCTGGTGTTAGTTGTGCATGGAGAGATTTGTGCGGTACATGTGTGTCCATTGCTGAAAATGATAACTTTAGTCAGCCATATTCTCATATTTGTATTATTATACTGATATAAACATGTGCATTTTCTTAATCCAGGTTAAAAATATGCAACATAGTGCTTATTTTTATCAAAGTGTGCTTGTAATATTTTATCTACAGCCTAGCCAAAAAATGATGTCGCACAATTTGTCATGATGCATTGCATTATCACAAATATAACAATTGATTCCAACTACACACAATCTCTGTATATCATCCATTCATCCATCATTAATCATCCTTCATCCATCCATCCATTTATAATCTATCCATCTGTCATCCTTCTTCCTTCCATCCATAAATCCATCATCCTTCATCCACCCATCCATCCATCCATCCATCCATCCAACCACCCATCATTAATAATCCTTCATCCATCCATCCATCCATCATCCATCCATCCAACCACCCATCATTAATCATCCTTCATCCATCCATCCATCCATCATCCATCCATCCAACCACCCATCATTAATCATCCTTCATCCATCCATCCATCCATCATTAATCATCCTTCTTCCATCCATCCATCCATCATCCATCCACCCATCCATCCAACCACCCATCATTAATAATCCTTCATCCATCCATCCATCCATCATCCATCCATCCAACCACCCATCATTAATCATCCTTCATCCATCCATCCATCCATCATCCATCCACCCATCCATCCAACCACCCATCATTAATAATCCTTCATCCATCCATCCATCCATCATCCATCCACCCATCCATCCAACCACCCATCATTAATCATCCTTCATCCACCCATCCACCCATCCATCCATCCATCCATCCATCATCCATCCACCCATCCATCCATCCATCATCCATCCACCCATCCATCCATCCATCCATCCATCCATCATCCATCCACCCATCCATCCAACCACCCATCATTAATAATCCTTCATCCATCCATCCATCCATCATCCATCCACCCATCCATCCAACCACCCATCATTAATCATCCTTCATCCATCCATCCATCCATCCATCATCCATCCACCCATCCATCCAACCACCCATCATTAATAATCCTTCATCCATCCATCCATCCATCATCCATCCATCCAACCACCCATCATTAATCATCCTTCATCCATCCATCCATCCATCATCCATCCACCCATCCATCCAACCACCCATCATTAATAATCCTTCATCCATCCATCCATCCATCATCCATCCACCCATCCATCCAACCACCCATCATTAATCATCCTTCATCCACCCATCCATCCATCCATCCATCATCCATCCACCCATCCACCCATCCATCCATCCATCATCCATCCACCCATCCATCCATCCATCCATCCATCCATCATCCATCCACCCATCCATCCAACCACCCATCATTAATCATCCTTCATCCATCCATCCATCCATCCATCATCCATCCACCCATCCATCCAACCACCCATCATTAATAATCCTTCATCCATCCATCCATCCATCATCCATCCACCCATCCATCCAACCACCCATCATTAATCATCCTTCATCCATCCATCCATCCATCCATCATCCATCCACCCATCCATCCAACCACCCATCATTAATAATCCTTCATCCATCCATCCATCCATCATCCATCCACCCATCCATCCATCCAACCACCCATCATTAATCATCCTTCATCCATCCATCCATCCATCCATCATCCATCCACCCATCCATCCATCCATCATCCATCCACCCATCCATCCATCCATCCATCCATCCATCCATCCATCCATCCATCATCCATCCACCCATCCATCCAACCACCCATCATTAATCATCCTTCATCCATCCATCCATCCACCCATCCATACATCCATCAATCCATCCATCGGTCATCCTTCTTCCATCCATCCATCCATCCAACAAATGAGAGAGAAAGAGGCAGAAATGAATCGGTAAACAAATATTTTTGGTGAACAGCTTTAAATGATTATATTCGCTTGGATGAATCAAAATCTTCACCAGCAGCTTGAAAAACCTCTAATGTCTCATCCAATAAGATTTGTGTTTTGGAGGTCTTTAAGGCCCATATATCCGTCTCCAGAGCAGCTTCTGAGGAGAAGAGGATGATTATGAGTCTTGTGTTGAGCAGCACTGATTCCCTCAGTCTGTCACGCAGAGAGACTGTAGATCACCAGAGATCAACGGACCACCCAGCCTCCTCTCTCTCACACACACACACTGATGCCGCGCTGGGTGGCCAACATGTGGCGTTTAACCTCCGACCCCTGAATTGTTGCATACGTGAAGGCTGATAGAGCATTTGCTCCTGGACTGGGTTCGGTATTGCCGGATCCGATCCGGTGATTGTGGTTGCGAGCTCTGGCAGATTCACTGGTTTGTGACGTGTCTGGACGAGTGTGAACGGTGTCTGCGTGAGGTCATGTAAGCTTGCACGTTCCAGATGTTAACACACACTCCTGCGGGTCATGTAAGCCTCTCTGCCCTCTGCTCTGGTACTGTGGTTGTTAAACACTTTCGATGGCAAGCCTCTCATCGCAGCGCATGCAGGGTTTCCATGCATTAAGAGTCAGGGATGCACTGAGGGATTATCTTTTCTAATAATGTATTTAATATTTACTCATAAACTGAGCTGTACTAACTTATAAATTGCACATGAGGCAGGTTTATATCAACTTCTTTGTTTCTTCTCCAATTCTTTGTTATTTAAACATTTCTATGGTGGCTGTAATAACTAGTTTTCAGGATTAATTTAAACACCTTAAATAGTGAAGAACAGATTAAGAATATGTAACAAAGGGCATATAATTATCCAAATTCTCCTCTCTAGAGATTATGTCGCACAATTTTTCACATTTATCACAAATAAAACAATTGACTCCACACTGCAAAAATACTTTTCTTGTTTAGTATTGTCTACTTTGCTACTTTGGTTTTAGCCAGAAAACAAGATATAATTTCTTATGTCATTTTAGTTACCAAGTAAAAACTCCATGATTTTGAGGAATGTGTAAATATTTGGACTGGAAACCAGAAAGAAAGCGTTTTTTTTTTTTTTGCAATACACAATCTGAAATAATACGCAAAAAGGCTGAAGATGTACATTTTCCTAGGCAGGACAGTACTGTACCTTCTGATGTTCAATGATGTTTATTTGCTGCTCGTGAACCCAACATCGAACTGTTGTGCACATTAAAGACACAAAACACATGTATTGTGAATTTCATGATAAAATGAACAGAATTTGAGTATAGCAAAAAAAATAGCAAAGCTCAATGCAGTTATTGGATGGTAAGAGCTTCAAAAAATGTTTAGTAAGGCAGAAATCGGCATAGACTAAAAGATTGATCTTGAGATTTAGGAATCCATATTAGTATCGATTCGCTAGTGTCCGCACCGCTGTCATGTTTACCTGTTGTAGTTTATCAATGTTGTCTGCAAGAAATAGACACTGACACAGACTAAATGTGCCATCGGAGAAGCACTAATTAAACGCCAATGTTTCAATCAATGATTTCGCCCTCCAAAACTATTGAGAACTGTTGTTTTGACCAGAAAATGTTTGGTCGCAAAAATTGAGTCGTCACCACTTAAGAGGAGCGAGGCTTATATGAATCTCTCTCTCTCTCTGTATCTCTGTAGTCTCTCTACCGTTTTCTAATTGTTCTTGAGCCGAGAGGCAATTATGCAGTGTTGTGGTGTAATATTTCATTCCTCGAGCGTCTCTGCATGCCATTAGGAGCGGCTGCTAACAGCTTCATGCCACCAGAGAAGAGCGAGGCGTCTATCGATCACCGGTGATGCTGGAGTGATCCTGTGTTGTGTCCAGTTTCAGTGACGTCCATCATTCTAGGATATAAGAGCAGAGTTTGAGGATGGAGGTCATAATACATCACAACACTAAAATACAACAACACGTGTTGTGGATAGTTCACCCAAAATAAAAAATTTAAGTTTTCAGAGTTTTAGTGTTAGTACAACATTAAACTACCATATATAATGTATAATAATGCAGCGTGGGAATATCTGTGGCCCTGATAATGCCAAACGTCTGATGTTACCTGTAAAAAGTGGCCGACGTTATTTTAAATATCTATTCTGTAAACCCTTTTCACACATGATGTGTCATAAAAGGCAAAATGTTATGACTTTTGTTCATCAGCATCATCAACACACTGTGTTATTTAATTGAGCAAAGCTATCGTCACACACTTCTGAAACACACACTCATTGGCATGTCATTTTCCAGCTTGTGTTATTCCAGTTTCCCAGTGTTTCTGCTGGTCATGCGGATCAGCTGACCTCGGGTGTGTGTCTTCGGTCTCAACACTGCATGTTCAGGTGTTTTCAGCTTGTTTTGGTTCATTTCACTGAAGCTTTTAAGCACTTAACATGAAAAAACAAACAAACTTAAATGTATAATGAAACGTTAAGCTAAGCTTAATGACAGGAAACTTTGGAAAAAGAAATGAAAATGTGAATAATTGGTTCTCTGATCTTTTATATCGAGTGAAACGCTTCAGGAACAAGAACACGTGTGGGCGGGGCTTGATCGTGTTCGTTGGGAGTTGATTGGATGGTTGTGGTTTGCTATTGGCTGATCTGGTGTGAGTGACAGGTTATAGCCCCGCCCTCGCCTTCAGAGAAGTGCATCTATTTACCGTAATACTCCTTTAAAACCAAGAGTTGTAATTTGATTTGATGAGTTTAACACACTCTCCATCTCTCTTCAGAAATCCGCGGCGGTCGAGCTCCTAAAGACGGCGCGGCTCTGCCCCTCTACGACACCCCGTACGAGGAGAACGGAGGAGACGGTGAGGCCCAGCGCTGCTCGCGGGAGAGCCGCTTACCCCAGGACGACGACAGGCCGCCCGAGGAGTACGACCAGCCCTGGGAGTGGAAGAAAGAGCGCATATCCAAAGCCTTCGCAGGTGTGTGTGTGTGTGTGTGGGATTTCACCTTTCCAAAAAGTGGTTCCTTCCTTTAAGTGGTTCAGAACACTGCACAGACACTTTCTCAAATATATCTAGTCTTGTGTGTTGTTCTGCTGGATGTCGGGGAGTTACTAACTAAAAGTGATGCTACCAACCGTACGTTCACATCGTCGCTGGCCAGAGTGCCAGAGTGGGCGGAAGTCATTCATTTTCAATTTTCAACACTATTATAGGCAAGATTTACAACACTTTTTCAGCGGGAATGCAAATTATAATAGCACTGAACCATGAACACAAAAGCCACACCACACAAATGGCTTTTAATTTGTTTATTTCATTAGCAAACATGCCACTATAATCGTTAAGTTCTTTCCTTAGATCAATTTTCTGTAAGAATAACGATTGACGCGCTTGTTTGCTGTGCGGCCCCTTTAAATACAGTTGTAAAAAAGACCACGCATTCGATCTGCGTCAGAGCATCAGGGCGTCTACGAGTCTCTCCGCGGCGGCGCTGGCGGGGCGTGTGAACGTACGGTAACGCTTCACTGCACATGTCTGTGGGGAAACACTTTGATGATGCTTCTGGAGGGGTTCACTGAACCTGAGCGAGGTGGACGACCCGACTGAACACACACTCTACTGCGCTTCGGTTATTTTATTTTATTTTTTTATTTTATTTTATTATTTTATTTTATTTTTATTTTATTATTTTATTTTATTTTATTATTTTATTTTATTTATTTATTTTTTTTTTTTTATATTTTTTTTTATTGTTTTATTTTATTTTATATATACGCACACACACACACACACACACACACACACACACACACAGTATATATAATTTACTTTTTTATTTATTTAATTTTTAATATAATGTAATTATTTTCATTTATTTTTATTATGTTATTTTACTTTTTTCATTTATTTTTATTATTTTATTTTACTTTTTTTCATTTATTATTTTATTTAATGTATATAATGAAATACATTTATTTATTTATTTATTTATTTATTTTTTCATTGCTTCAGAAAGCAATACGAACAAACAAACCAAGCGGTATCATAATTCATAACTAGAAATGTGTTGACAGCTTCAGATATGCTTGGATTCGTGAAGCAAACTTGTCAATCATCTTGATGGATGATGTCGAGGAAACTCTGACCAATGAGAGGACAGCTTTACTCACATGTGACTTGCAGGAACACACTTTGGTGAGATTAAAAATGTGAAAGCGAACCGAACCAAGAAAATATATAATAATTATTATAATTAGAACATTATTTTTAATTATGAGTTATTTTATATTTTTTCAACTTAGTACTGTTTGAAACTGAAAGTCAGATTAATTTGAGTGAATCAGTTCGTATAGATGATTCCTTTGGAATAAAAAGCTAGTTGCTATTTATTGGTGATGTTCAGTTTTTTGTCAGCTCTGATTAAAAACAATAAATCACAGGAGCTGACGGTAAAGGTCAGGCCGTTAGAGTTAAAGCAGTTCACTTTCTATAAAACAAATCCTGATCGTTTACTCTCCTCCACGTCGTCCGAGATCTTCACGTCTTTCTTTCTTCAGTTTTTGAGGAACACACTCCAGGATTTCTCCATATCATGGACTTCAATGGGGTCCAACAGGTCGAAGGTCAGATGTGAGTTTCAGTGCAGCTTCAAAGTCTCGACACGATCCAATAAGAGTCTGATCATGACAAACCAGCGACATTTACAACAAAATACATATTTTTATACTTTAACCACTAATGGTCGTCTGAGATGCGCCACACATTACGCCATCGCATTGGAAAGGTCAAGCGTGACATCGTTAAACATTCATGAAATACACACACACACACACACTTAAGGATCATTTTAAACAAAAAACTCATACAAATTCATATAAATATGTGTCATGATTCAGTAGCTTTGAACGGTTCTTCAGACTTCTGAACTCTGGGTCGGTTCGTCGGCGGCGCCACACGTGACCTTTCCGATGTGAGGGTCGACCGCTCACTCGCCCGCGCCTGTACATGTGAACGCTGGGAGATTCCTGCTTACTCTCTCTCTGTCTCTCTCTCTCTCTCTCTGTCTCTGAATGAGAACTTCAAGACTTCAGGATCTGATCATTTACAGTTCCGACTGCAACCCAATGCTTGTGTGTGTGTGTGTGTGTGTCACTGATGTGTGAAGTGTGTGTGTGTGTGTGCTGCAGGTTGTGGGTCCGGGACTAACTCGGGTGTATATAAATATCGCTGTTCAACAGAGTTATTGGGCTTTCTGAAATATAATAAGAAAAGAATAAGCGCTGGATAGATTTTTTTTTTGAGTTCTTGAAAGGTGTTTCCTTTTTTGTCCTGTGTGTGTGTGTGTGTGCGTGTGTGTGTGTGTGTGTGTGTGGAGCAGCACTGCTTTGTTATGACTGCATTAGTCATGAGGACTCGAGCAGAGGAGCGAGCGGAAGAGATTTCCACATCTCTAGATCCTCCACAGGTACTGCAGGTCTCTCGCCCCCTCTCTCTCTCTCTCTCTCTCTCTCTCTCGTTCGCTCTTCATGGATTTATGTTCATGGGAGTGTATTGATTGTGGAAATGATTCTTCTGGTTTCTCTTTCCTCTGAAAGGAATATTCCGGGTTAAATCTAGAGCCGAATCTGATTCATTCGTCACTCGTCCGTCAGGTCAGAGAAACTCAAAGCGTGCCGTACTCGACAACACACACACACACACACTCTTTAGTAAAGTATAGTTTCAGTGACGGACGAGCTGGAGATGCAAGGGGTTTGAAAATGAGGAAAAGCCAATTTGTACATGTTTAATTATTACATTAAAACACACACTCTAACACTCTCTCTCTCTCTCACACACACACACACAAACACTCATTTACGAACTCACTCGTGTGTTTCATACATTAGTGTGTGATTACTCTAGTCATGTGTATCTGTGATAATCTGTGATAGTGTGTGTCGTGGATCAGGGATGTGTCAGGGATGCTTGGTGTGGATCATAGAGGCGTCTGGGTCAGTGTGTGTGTGTGTGTGTGTCAGAGTGTGTGTCGAAGAGTTTTACAGCGTACTTGCATTTCACTAGCTTTCATTATTTCATCAATGATGTAATATTCACCGCTCGTATTTCCACACACTCACTTACTCACACACACACACACACACACGCATTCACACATGTTCAACTTACTCACTGTCTCTCACACACACACACACACACACACTCTTGATAAATGCCGCTGTGAGTGAGCACATTCGTCTTCAGTTGTTCCTCAGCGCTGCGGCTTATATATCAATCTGTGTTTGGTCTGACGAAACGCACAACATTAAACACACAGTCTGTGTGTGTGTGTGTGTGTGTGTGTGTGTGATTCACTGCAGTGCGTTCAGATCCTGATGTTTATGCAGCGCTGGGGTTATTCATTAACGCGTGCGCTGTGTTATATGCACTCGTGTGTGTGTATCAGTTTATCAGATGTGTGTTAGTCGCGCACTGCAGGGTTGTGCACTTGTGTGTCTACTAATTACTCACCTGGTTATCTGCTACCTGCTCACACACACACACACACACACACACCAGCACAGCATTGAGAGATTGATGACTGCAAATACTATTGATGAGACGACACTTTAAAGAATGTGTGTGTGTGTGTGTGTGTGTGTGTGTGTGTGGCTGCTTGTCGATGAGGATAAACCCACAAGGTGAAACTGCACACACAGTGTTTTCTGGAAAGTGTGTGTGTGTGTGTTACGCATGGAAGTGCTTTAAAAACCGTAATACCTGCATCTCAGAAGAAGAGCTCCCATACGCCGCTGTTCTCCATCCTCTGATGATCTTCGGTTCGTGACCGAAAAATGTTACGTTTTTGTTTTTTACTTCATCGGACTGGTACGAAACTTGGTCAAGGTTTTGGCTCTTGCTGTGTGAACACACACACTCACACACATCATGGACATGATCTGAACCGGTTCAATGGTCCTGAAAGCAACTTGTGCGGTTCGCGTCAGAAACGAGCGCATTGGAAATGAATGAGAGTTTCCTCTAGTGGAAGCGTGTGGAACTGCAGCCGAACACACACTCACTGAACGCTCCTTTACTGAGACATCAGCTCACACACTTGTTCAGCGCTTGGATTTTCTTGCAGTTTTAGAGTAAAATGTGTTTTTGAAAATATAGATTTCATATAAATATTGAAAAAGTATTTTTTATGCATTTTTCATATCAATAAACGTATAAATTCGTATATTTTTTTTAAAATTCCCCTCATCAATAATCTGCCCAGCGTTGTCTTTATAAAGAGATCAAACTCCAGTCTGTCGCTCTAAAGCGTTCAAGATTTACCCGTTTAAGCTGGAAATTAAATTTTCAGGTCTATGCTCAAAACGTAAATAAATAGATTATAAATACAGTAAAAATATAATAAAAAAATATTTAATAAAAAACATTATCAAACTAAAATATAGTTCATTCATTTATTTCATGCCAACAAATATAATGACCCACTTTTTAAAATATAAAGGCTGCAGTTTATTATAAAGATAAAGACAGTATTTTTTATTTTATTTTGTATCATCATCACTATCACTATATATTAAAACCAAAAAAGGTGATTATATCGTTATTTAAACATTTATTTTGTAATATGTCGACAGTGTGTGTATTTCTGCACACTACTAGAGTAATGTAGCATCCCGGTTGTCTAATAAACCCGACATTGTTTATAATATTGTAAAATCTTTGACAAATTTCAAAATTTTTTGGGGAAATAACAGATCACTTTTCTTTTAGACACTTTCTTCCCTCTAATATTGGATGTAAATCAGATCACACACACACACACACTGATCATCTTACTGACAAAACTGCGGATCACATGACCTGATGTGTAACACAGTCAGTTTGCGGTGTCGTCACAATGTGAATATACCCATGTATATAAGCGCTGATATATCGCGTGTAAGTGCAGCCGGGGACCGTATTCTGTGCTCACGGTCTGT